TACCCCGACGTTTCCACCAGACCCCCTCAAAGGCCCAAACCTCACTCAAGGCCTGAGAAAAATTTTGGACCTAAAAACCTCTTTGGCAGATAAAAAGCAGATTAACATTAATGATTATACCAATGCCAGAAAATTAGGCGATTTCTCTTCATTCATTTTAATGCCTTTCTAGCACTAGTACAAAAAGGCAGAAATTCATACTTGTTATGTTCGCGGAGGAAAAGGGTGTGTAGGGCAGCCAAGCCGACGAATATGTTCGCCCGATCATCGCCAGCCACCACATTCATGTTGGTATCTAGAAAATTATATGAATCTCAAACTAAGATGAATTCCGAAGAAAATCCCTACCAATTGGTGGAAAGACTCGATTTTTGACGAGTTTCGTTTTCAAGAACGCGCCTTGACGGAAAAGAAACTGGTCTCGGTCACTGCTGCCGTAAATCTGTAAACAATCGTGTTGGTCAGTGGGTTTTCTCACGCCATTTGTCACTTCGTGGGTACACCACGACGTAAAATTAGTCAACCAACCATTGATCCGTCCACAAAAGCGGTGTTCTCGTTGAATTGCTCCCTGAAATTGCTCTGACCTGTCCCACAGACGGGTGTCGATCGCGCCACCGGAAGACACATAAATCGACCGAATCTGAAAATCAGCGTGGATCATGACTCGATGTTTCTTGAACTGTATCCACGGGACGACTTCGCCCTCGATTTCGTTAGCGATTTCTCGAACAAATTTGGGTTCTCCTCTCATCTTTAAGTTTCATACCTACGGAAGAAATTCCACGACTTTCCACATTTATTGAAAAAAGCGTATGCAGGAGGCGGGGGGCAGGGGGGGGGGGCAAAAAAAGAGTCACTCTCATTCACATTCAAAACAGAATTAATTACACTTTGCCAGAACCAAACCGAATGTGCTCAATTGCATATTGAAGAGCATATTCCATTCTATCAAAAAATTACATAGGGGACTTTCTACACCGACGACATCAGAAGATTTTCCCACGGAAACATGGCGCACACGGTACGAGCCCAACGGTCGATCGTCGAGAAACCATAGACGATTACGACGTCTCTGAAACGCTGGTCAAAAGCCATTTTGCATAGTCAGAGCTAGTGTCTCTAAGAAGTCATTCACCAGTTATCCGATTGAAGAATTTATGTAGCAGCTTCAGAATGGAGCGATTATGGTAGGCCTCCTTAAGCTCGACGGTGATGACAGATGACGTCATATTCTGGAGACGGTGAACGCAGCGAAGGTGGGCCTGATTCTGCTTATGGGGGGGGGACATCTAAGGAATAATTTCGCCGTATAACTCCCAATAACAGCGCATCTTTTGCGATGAAAAGTTTGATGATATGCGCCATAGGCAAAGTGACTCTTTTTTTGCCCCTCCCCCCTGTATAGCGTATAT